CATCAAAAGTTAAATCACTAAAAAATCAGCATGTTTCTACACCTGTCCTATATACACATATCCAATATGTATCCCACCCCTCACTCCCCCTTAGTTTTGTTTTATGAGGCAGGGTGTCTCACTCTGTCACCCAGGCTGGAATATGATGCTGCAATCACAGCTCATTGCAGCCTTGACTTCTCCACGCTCAAAAGATCTTCTTGCCTCAGCCTACCACCACCCCAGTAGCTGGGACTACAGGTGTACTCTACCTATATATTTTAAAAGTAATAATATAACTACCTCCACAATAAGAGTTGATTATGTTGTTTTAAAAACTGGGGGGAAAATCACAAAAATCAACTTGGTAATCATTCTCTGTAGAATGAAATATATTACTCCTATTTACTCATCAAGCAATATTGCTCAAGCTTTTTGCCAGAAGATAAAAATCATGTAGATGTTCACTCTATCAGGAAGATGACAAAAAGAATTCCAACAGGCCTATAAAACTAATAGCATACTCATCCTATCTTTCCCCCTACATCTTTTGGAACTTGATTGCATTCGAGTTTCACAAAATAAAGCTAGTAAACATTTCCATTTCTGCCCAGTTTTAAGAAATGACATTTATAATCGGACAACAGAAAGAACAAAAGAACAGTAAGAAGAGCAGGGATTTAGAGATCCTTACCTGTCTTATAACTCTGTGATCTGTATATATCCCTGAGCTCTTTCATAAGTCTATCTGAAGCTTGTACTGATCCAGACACTGCAGGCGGAAGCAGAAAGGCCGCTGTTTACCAGGTCGACTGAATCAACTAATGTAAAGATTTGAGGTATTTCAACCTGCTCTAAATGATTACAGTAGCCAGGCACAGTGGCTCACACCTGTAATCCCAGCACTTTGGGAGGCTGAGGCAGGTGGATCACTTGAGGCCAAGAGTTTGAAATCAACCTGGCCATCAGGATGAAACCACATTTCTACTAAAAAATTACAAAAGTTGGTCAGGTGTGGTTGCACGTGCCTGTAGTCCCAGGTGCTCAGGAAGCTGAGGCAGGATAATCAGTTGAACCCGCAAGGTGGAGGTGGTAGTGAGCTGAGATGGTGCCACTGCACCCTGGCCTGGGCCACAGAGCAAGGCTCCAATTCAAAAGAAAAAAAAAAGAAAAGGAAAAAGAAAAAGATTACAATAAAAATTGATCACTACTCAACAATCTAAGGAGTGGAAAAAAAAGTAAAATTAAATGAAGCATTATGAAGTTTCAAGAGAATATAAAACCAGACACAAATGGTTCATTTCCTTTTTCTTATCACCTAAAAACCTCTAGCCAACATGTTCATACCACCATGGAATCCATGATAGCCTAGAATTCAGTATGAGTCTATTCCAAACCCCAGAAATTTTTGAAAATACTAGAAGACACTCAAGGTGACATTATTAACTAAAATAGGCTTCCATTCATAAGACTACAAGCAAGAATATTACACAGATGGTCTAGTTCACACATTAGACACTGAGGACCATGTGCGCCTACATGCAACTGGTTTCAGTTTTTCAGTGCAGGGACTTCTGTAATGATGAAAACAGATCAATATCTTATCCTAAGACTAAACGGAAATGGAACTACTTTTTGGTCATGTGAAACTAAAGGTTTTAAAGACTGTGCTAGACTTTGAAGGGTGAAAAAATCAAGTTGATAAAAATATTACTTCCTAACTATGTAACCATGAACTCATTTCATATCTATAAAATATGAGAAGTTTTTCCTATCTCTAAAATATCAAGAGTACCTATTTCACACAGTGGCTATGATGACTAAATGAAAAGATCTATAAAGTATTTAGCATAGTATCGGTCATGCAAAAGTGTTCAATAATTTATACTTCTTTTGAAGATAACTCAAACTGGAATTGATCACAAGACACAGAAAGTACAGTGACATTAATTCAAATGCTACAATCTTAGTTTTGTAAATAATCAAGATATGGGGGATTAACTAAATTTCTTTGCTGTATGAAAAACTACCTATTAAACTAATATATAAATAAGATTGAAGGAGGGAGAGTTAGCTATCTGATTTCAACATTTCGCATCTACTTGGCTAACAATTCATTCCCTGTTTTGGAGAACCTGTACCCAAGACAAAGTAACTGGGTCCTCAGATATTGCAGAGTCAGTAAATAGCTCTAATACAAGACAGGAAGCAGTAAGTGTTTAGACAAACATCTGATGTTTCCCTACACTGTCTAAGCATTTTATGTGTATACATGTATCATTTTAATTTATTTTTCATAGCAACTATCCAAAAGATATGTACTGTCTATCCATATTTTAGAGTTGAGCAAAGTGAAACCATACAAGATGTGTTTGTCACCAAACTCAGTGTTCCTTTCCCATCCTGCTGCTTCACATAAAGAGATGTAAAGTCAAAAGAGAAACATTACTTTTGGTCTAGTCAGAGCAGAATGGATCAAAGTCAGTTTCATGAAGGAGAAATAATTTGAGCTGTGCTTTGTAGGAGAGAATGAATTTGAATATACAGATGCTACAGAAGGAAGGTCAGCAGAGAAAACAGCATAGACAAGCTGGAAAGGGGCATATACAGGGATCAGCAGGTGGTTCCAGGATGTGGAGAGCAGATGAACAGGATAAAAAGTGACTATTCATAGATAAGAAAGATAACCTTGGGCAACAAGCCATATGAGTGTAGCTGGGCATGGTGGCTCATGTCTGTAATCCCAGCACTTGGTCAGGGCAAGGTAGCAGGACTCCTTGAACTCACGTGTTCAAGACCAGCATGGTCAACACAGTGAGACTCCATGTCTACTAAAAATCAAAAAAATTAGCTTGGTGTGGTGGCACATGCCTATAGTCTGAGACACTTGGGAGGCTGAGGCAGGAGGATTACTGGAGCCTTGGAGATAAAGGCTAGTTACAGTGAACTATGATTGCGTAACTGCACTCTAGCCCAGGTGACAGAGCAAGACCCTGTCTCAAAACCAATAAGCATATAACTGAATCCACCACTAAGGCAGGAATGGAAGAGGAGAGCAACTGAGATTGGCATGTTCATGAATTGCCTGGTATTAACTATAATTACTTAACCATAAAATCCAGGCTCCAGATATTTATACACGCTTCCACATTTAAATGGTCGTACCTTTCAGTCTTCCTAATTTTCTCTAATATTGCCCAATTTTCTTTTTCAGTTCCTTCATCCTCCACCTGTTTCCCACTCATAGGCTCTTCTTTCATCTCATAGTGATCTAAGTCTTCTATATTCTGCAAAAAGAAGAGAAATATTAGGTTATTCAACCGATATTTCTTCAGCAGTTTGTTATGCCAAAAGTTCAATTATTCTTGACTCAATAGGGAACAAGAAACAGAATATATCTATCCTATGGGAAGAGAGAAAAAGCCCCACATTCCATTCAAGAGGCTCCCACCTTTTATATCCTGTATTTTCTTTAAAAGCTAGACTCTGGGTAAAGCAGATTTAAAAGCTTTACAAAGTCACAACTAGTATGAAATAGACCATCATTAATTTATTTACTTCTTTATTTAACTTATCTTCTTTTCTTTTTTTGAAGATAGAATCTCACTCTGTCACTCAGGCAGGAGTATAGTGGGGCAACTCTGCTCACTGTAATCTCTGTCTCCCAGGTTCAAGTGATTCTCATGCCTCAGTCTCCTGGGTAGCTGGGATTACAGATGTACACCACCATGCCCAGCTAATTTCTTTGTGTTTTTAGGAGACACAGGGTTTTCATCATGTTGGCCAGGATGGTCTCAAACTTCTGACATCAAGTGATCTGCCCACCTCAGCCTCCCAAAGTGCTGGGATTACCGGCATGAGACACCATGCCCAGCCAAGCCATTTTTTAAATCTCCTCTTAAGAGGAACCTTTGTAACAGTTTGGCAGCAGGGGTCAAGAACCTGAACTGTTCATAGTTTGTTCCAGAAACTCAACTTCTAGAATTGTATTAGAAGAAACTAGTGTAAGATGTAAGCACAAATTTAGGCATGAGGATACCTATTCCAACCTTGCAACCCCAAAAGACCCCCACAAAATCTGTATGTGCAAAAACAGCAAAACAGTTAACTCAAGTCCATGAAATATTAAGAGGCCACTGAAATACCAATACAGCATAATTTCTCCTGTATTGAAAAACTTTGAAATGAAAAATGGAATACACAAAGGAATAGAAAGAATTTCAATTATGCTGAAATAAGCACAGAAAAAGACCAGAAGAACTCATATTGAAATGTTAATTTCAATTAATTTTAGTTATTATCACTGGAGAGATTTGGTGCTTCCCCTAATTTCCAGGTTTATGGTTTTATGTAGGAAGCATCTATTGATGTTAATGACTTAAAAGTAAGTTAAAAAAAGCATTTGATCTCAGGTGCTCAGGAGGCTGAAATAGAAGGATCGTTTGAGCCCAGGAGTTTGAGGCTGCAGTAAGCTGTGATCACGCCACTGCACTCCAGCCTGGGTGACAGTGACCCTATCTCAAAAACTAAGAATATTTTTAAAGAATTTGAATACTACCCTGCAGAACAAAATCTTTATTCACATCATTCTGCTCCCTCCTTTCCCATACTATCTGTTCTTACATATATACAAATATATGCAGAATTGTTTAAATCCTAACTTTTTCCAATTATGTTATTTTTCTACTTCAATTGTCAAAATCTCTAAAGGAGTACTTTATATTTATCTCAATTCCCCCCCCCCAAAGCTGGCTAATTACCCGATTTCTAGACCAGATTACTGACTACCTCCACTCAAACTCTGCCTATGACTCTCTACTTCATGGAGCTCCCTTCTCCCTGTGTGCACTTTTCAGCTCTGATCTCCCATCCTACGCTTGTTTTCCCCACAGTGCTCACAAATGTTTTTGGCCTGTATTTCCTCCTGTGTCTTTGACCTCAGTCACGTTCCCATCCACAAAACTTCTCCACCTAAGTATTAGTCAGCACATCCCAAACAGAATTCAACATATCTTTCTAAAACAATATTATCAGCACATGATTCCCTGCTTAAGGCTTTCTCATCAACAAACACAGCAAATAGAAACGTTCCATTCTCAAATTCAAGACTTTAACCATCTTCCTTTTCTGGACAATCTTGCTTTCCATGACTTCAACACATCAACCTTCCTTCTCAAAAGTAAAGCATCCAATACACCCAAACACACCATGTTCCTTGTTTATTAACTTGTGAAGGGGAAATGAAACGGTTCATGAACTTTAGTACAATGGATGTCTGACCCATGGAAAAGGTTTAGTGTTTCCATGAAGTTTATTCCACCTAAGCTAAACTGCATAAAAACATTAAAACAAACTCTCCTTGTAATTGGACAATTTTAAGAAGTATTTTACTCCCAGACTCATAAAACAAGGCTACAGCCAGTCACAGTGGCACACACCTGTAATCCCAGCACTTTGGGAGGCCGAGGTGGTGGATCACTTGAGGCCAGGAGTTCAAGACCAGCCTGGGCAACAGAG